CGAGCGCCTGTGCCTGGTGGATAATTACCTATTGATTGCTCAGCTTGCAAAGTAAGCACCTCTGCATGGGGATGGACATGGGGGGGGGGAGGAATCTGCCCAGCCCTGCCAAAAAGCTGGGACATCAGCACCAAGCAAGGAGCTGGAGGTGTGGAAATAACATCTTTGAGTTCTTCTGGCTACAAAAAGGGGGGATATTCCCCTGGGGAAGGGCCATCTCTGCAAACAGACAGCCAGGATGAGGGTTTGGAGTCTGTTCTTCACTTTTTGCACTTGATTGCTCAGCTTGCAAAGTAAGCACCTCTGCATGGGGATGGACATGGTGGGGGGGGGAAATCTGCCCAGCCCTGCCAAAAAGCTGGGACATCAGCACCAAGCAAGGAGCTGGAGGTGTGGAAATAACATCTTTGAGTTCTTCTGGCTACAAAAAGGGGGGATATTCCCCTGGGGAAGGGCCATCTCTGCAAACAGGGGCTCAGGCAGGCAGGATGAGGGGTTTGGGGTCTGTTCTTCACCTTGTGCACCCCCCCAGCTTTTATCTCAGAGGCTGCTGATGCTATTTCAGGTTTTCCCTCTGTCCCCACAACATGCTTTGGCACGTTGCTCTCATTTTTGAGGGCAAATCCTTTCTCTGGGCATGTCTTCAGCTCATCCCCCCCCCTCCCTGAGCCTGGAGCAAGTGAAAGGGTCAGTTTTATCAATTTAATTCACATTGTCTTCCCCCACTGCATCTTCAAGGGGTCCTGACGTGAAGGAGGATGGAGCAAGATTATACCACAAGGCTAAAAGCTGGGTGCACGGGTGGCTCTCGTGATGCTGAGTAAGGAGTAAGGATGTCACTTGGCCAAGCTGCTGTGACCCTGTGCTGGTGACCAGAGAAGGCAATCCCCATGGCTCTGCAGCAGGAACATCAGGCAGAGCCTCCTGACCTTTAAGGAGAGAGAAAACAAAACAGCTGATGAAGCTTAGGGATAAATATCACTTGGGTTTCCAGCCCCTGCAAGGCACGCGAGCCGGCGGGGTGACTTGGGGGACACCAGGACCTGGTGGCTAATTGTGGGGCAGCCCTAACGAGGATCAGGCTTCCATTGAACATGAACCCTTCAGGCGCATCCGTGAGTGGAGGGCAGTTCTATGTCCCAGGTCCAGGGCTCATCTCCAAGCTCTGGTGGTGCAGGGTGAGCATCGCCTTGGATGCCCCAGCCCAGGGGGCTTGGTGAGAGGTCAGGGTACCCCCCACTGTCCCCCATCACCCCCCAGTTCCTCACCCTGGACTCAAAACCTGGTGGTGCTGGGCTTTGCTGGTGAGGGAACATACATTCAACCATCCTGACCTGCAACACTGCAGCCCAGGCTCCGGTGACAGATCTGGAGATGCTGCCTTGGGCCAGAAGTAGCCCCCAAAACACTGTCAGCCACTTGTGGGGGGCTGTGCATCCCTGGCACCACCCCAGAGAGGATCACAGAATCACAGAATCTTCGAGGTTGGAAGGGACCTTAAAGATCATCTTGTCCAACCGTCAACCTAACTGACAAAAATAGACACCCACACAACAAACAAGCAGCACCATCACTAAACCAGACCTCCCAGCACCACATCAACCCCTCTTTTGAACACCTCCAGGGATGGTGCCTCCACCACCTCCCTGGGCAGCCCATCCCAATGCCTGAGAACCCTTTCAGTGAAAAAATTTTTCCTAATATCCAGCCTGAACCTCCCCTGGTGCAACTTGAGGCCATTTCCTCTCATCCTGTCGCCTGTGACTTGAGAAAAGAGACTGACCCCCATCTCTCTACACCCTCCTTTCAGGGAGTTGGAGAGAGCAATAAGGTCTCCCCTCAGCCTCCTCTTCTCCAGGCTGAACCCCCCCAGCTCCCTCAGCCTCTCCTCATAAGACTTATTCTCCAGACCCCTCACCATCTTTGTTGCCCTTAATGCTGGCTACCCCCCCAGGAGGGGCTTGACACCTCCTCGGGGCTGGCTACCCCCCATGGAAGGGGAAAGGCCACCTCCAGAACTGCATTAATTTGGTTCAATTCTGCCACGATTCGCCACCAGCTGCACCATCCCCTTTCCCAGAAGCCCAGGTCCTCAGCAAGCCCCAGCCAAGGGTCCCCACCCCCAAGACCTGCCATCCCAGGGAGGGGGGGGACACAGGAACCCACCCCCTCCCGCTCCATCCCTGTGGACAGACACCAGCCACTGCGCTTCGGGGACCGGCGACCGGGGGGGTTATCGAGCCATCGAGCGAGAGGCTGGGGAAACGGGGTTGCCATGGAAACCGCTGAACAGCAAATGGCTGATTTTTATTTTTTTTTATTATTTTTTTATTCTTTTCTTTTTTTTTGTCAAGGCTGGAAAAATTGCGGGGGAGAAGGGCAGCGGCGAAGCCCCCACGGCGTGGGCGAGTTGGGGGGCTGGGGCTTGGGGGGGCTCGGACCTTGGGTGAGCCGGGATTGCAAAGCAAAAGGTGGATTCTCAAGTGTCTGCTTGAAGGGTTCTGCACCTGCGGGATAGACGTGTCCCCATAGGGATGGGATAGGGTCTGGTGGCACCGGTGGTGGCTGTCCCCATCACTGCAGTGCCATGGGGGACCCAGCTGGGGAGGGACACGCTGGGGGGGTGTTTAAAACATTGTAGGTTGAAAATAAAACCTCCATCACATGGAGGATTCGGCGTCTGATGCAGGGACGGGCAGGAAGAGGCTGGTGAAGCTTCAGAGCATCCACAACCTGGTGCCCCAGGGGGTGGGGGGGGCAAAACAACCCCCAGCAGGGACCAAAAGGGCTTCTCCATCATTGCAAGGTCACGAACAGCCCCAGGTGGAGCCGGGCCACCCACTCCTAAGATCTCAGCTCAGCCCAGGGCCGTGACAGAGTCCCAGAGCTCCTGAGGGCTCTTGTCTGAGCTCCTCTGCCTGCAGAGGCTGCACGGGCAGGAGAAGGGTTGGTGGAGGGGGGGGGACACAGACACCAGCATCAACATCTGCCGCTTGAAAACCATGGTTACACCCCTCGAGCACGGATGAAAAAAAATCAGAATTGAAGTGCCCACTTCCCCCAAAGTTCAAGAGAGAGCTCCTGGGCTGAGGGCTGGTGAGAAGGCAGCACTTATTCCTCACCAGGAGGGGAGGGGAGGGGAGGAGGGGACCGTCCCCTGCGGAGGAGAGAAGGGAAAGCCCCCGGGACATGGCATCCGTGGGGCTGAGGGCTTGGGAGAGGGCGGTGGAATCTCCCTGGTGGGCTCAGCCAGATCCTAAATGCCACCAGCCATTCCAGTTTGGGGACTGGAAATTTGGGAACTGGGTTTCTGTAACACACACACGTGTTTGGTCCCTCCCCGTGGAGCAGGGTGGAGGGTCAGCCCTGGGGACTGTCCCCAAAAGCCACCTGGAGCCCGTTTCAACCCCTGGGAACAGCTGGATGCCAGAGAGACCATCAGTGTCCCCTGCCCTAGTGACAGCCACCCACCCACCACGCCATGGGGGGATGAATCCTGTGTCCCCACCCAGAGCATCCTTCAGGGCCAGGAGCTCCCCGGGTGGGAAAGCCCCCCTGGGTTTGGGGGTGACACCCCTCCATGGATGGTGGGGGGGTCTCCCGCAGCGCCCACCTCTCCACTTTCCTTCCCTGCTCCTTTTCCTCCCCTGGGATTTCTCAGGAGACATGGACAGGGTGCACAGGGTGACATTTCCCTTGGGGACATGTCCCCTGAGGGACAGATGGACACATGGGGACACCAGGAGGTCCATCACAAAGTGGGACCAGGCTCCCTCTGATGTTGCTCAGACACCTTTGCTGGACCAGACTGCAAAAAATATAGGTCAAAATCCCCTGATTTCAGCCTTGTCCCACCCAAACATGCCCCGTGGCACCCAGGGGACAGGACGTGAGCCCCACGTGCTGCTGGTGTGGTGCTGCCCATCCTGTGTTCCCCGCGCCACACAAGGTCACACCGATGTTTTATTCATCCCCCACAGTCCCCCATAGTCCTTAATTGCAGCCACACGCACTTTGCAAGTGTAAAGAATTGCCTTGGAGGTTTCTTAATGACTTTGGCGTGCTAACGAGCACTGTAGTCTCAGGGGTGCCCAACCATTCCCTGGGCTGCTGGGACCCCCAGAGATGGAGGGGTTGACACCCCAACCTGGGTGCAAACTGCCCCAAGATCTGTCTGGGCAAAAAATGCACACCTCAGCCTGAGATTAAAAAATTAATGATCGTTAATTCAACAGCTCCACCGTCCTCCTCCACTCCTGCCCGTTGGCTCGCGCGGGAGCAGCACCCTCGTTCCCCATCCCATGGTCACCATGACCTTCCCTGTGTCCCCATCACGTCTTGCTGCTGCCAAACGGAGCTGTTGGGAGAAGCTGGTGGCCATGAGGGATGGGCTTGGTGCCACCAGGCTCCATCCTGCACCTCCTGTAGCCAAAGGTACATCTCCAGGCCGGTCCCCGATGCCCTTTCCCTGGAAAACCCTCCCAGCCATCAGTGGAGGTGCCGTCCTGCCATGGGACAACCTTCAGCATCCAGACCCAGCCAGAGAGATGCTCTGGCCTTAATTAAAGGTCTTTAATCACCTGGTAGGGGACGGATGGGCATCAAGACGCTGTTACACCCCAAACTGGGGGCTGGTGGATTCCAGCCATGAGCTGGAGCTGGCTGGGGGCTCAAAGCACCACGAAGCACAAACTTGGGTGAGGGACACAAACCAAGACAAAGGTCCCAACCCCCCCCTTCAAAAAGCAGCCTGTGCCACAGAGGGTGTTCACACCTTTATTGCTCTGGCTGGAGAGTTTTTTCCTCACTCCTCTCCCCCTCCCATCCCTTCTTCTTCTTTTCTAGGGACACAGTGCCCTCAAGCCAGGTCCGTGTGTCACAGAGCAGAGGGACAGGGTGGCATCCCTCTGGCATCCAGACACGGCTGCAACCACTCTGCCTCCCTCCATGTCCTCCCGCTGCGTGCGCTTCCCCCTTCAAAAAGCAGCCTGTGCCACAGAGGGTGTTCACACCTTTATTGCTCTGGCTGGAGAGTTTTTTCCTCACTCCTCTCCCCCTCCCATCCCTTCTTCTTCTTTTCTAGGGACACAGTGCCCTCAAGCCAGGTCCGTGTGTCACAGAGCAGAGGGACAGGGTGGCATCCCTCTGGCATCCAGACACGGCTGCAACCACTCTGCCTCCCTCCATGTCCTCCCGCTGCGTGCGCTTCGGTGAAGAAGAACGTATCGAGGGGGGCAAAACCTGGCCCTTTCTCACCCCCAGCCCCACATCCACGGGGCGACGTCCCTCCTGTCCCCAGATCTTCCTAGTCCAGCTTTCCTCCAGGGAAGGGCAAGGTCGGACCAGTCTCCCATTTCCAGGGATGTGCCCGTTCCCAGTGGGCTCCCAGCACATCCCAAGGCGTTTACAGGGAGGAACTGTTTGAATTCACTGGGGTCTTCCCCAACGAACCCCCCTGTGGCCGGAGCCCAGCTCCCTGGGATGTTCAAGGGACCCCCAGTGCGAGGAAGCAGGGAGCTGGGACGCAGGGACTGGTGCCACCCCCTCACCCTCCCTCCCCACCCTGGCTGCCCGATGTGGCCATCACAGCATCCCGTCTGGCACCGCGTCCCCTCCAGCCCCATCGCTGGCCGCCGTCAGCAGAACTGCAGGAGAAGCACAACCAGAGGTGAGCCTTCACCCAAAACCCCTGAGCACCATCTCAGGAGGGAGCTCTGCCACCCCCCCAGGGCTGGGGAAGGGTTGGGGCACCTCAAGACCCCCCCCCAGATGGGCACAGACCTTCCAGCGGTTGCCACATTCGTTGCACAGCACGAATGTCGTCATGGGCTCATCGGCGCTGCGTGTCTGCACCTGGGATGGAGTTGGTGGCCAGGTCAGTGGAGAACCCGCCGGTGTCCCCCAAATCGGGGTCCCCCTGGGGGTTTTTTGGGGCTGACCTGGTTGTACGTGCAGTTCTTCTTCTTGCACTTGCCGCACTGGAAGAGGTCGGTGACGGTGCCACCCGTCTTGGCCATCTGGTGCTCCCGGATGGCCTCCTGGGTCATGGCGTTCCTCAGCTGCTTCAGCTCATCGCTGGCCATCTCCTGCCACCGGCACCAGCCCAGCAGGGTCAGTAGCCAAGCTGGCACAGGGTGCAAGCCACCGTGGTCCAGCACCCTCCCCATCCTCTCCAGGACCTCCAGGATCCTGCCCTCTGTGCTTGCTGGAGGGATCAGGCCCATTCAGATGAAAAAATCACCCCATTCTCAACCCAAAACTGCTGCCTGCAGGGACCTGGCTCCCCACGGAGGAACCTGGGCTCCCGGGGGTTGGGTTGGGGACCCCGGTTGAGGAGGGGACCCTCAAGCCTGACTCCTGCCAGTGTGACATCCCGCATCCAGCTCTATGATGGGGGTGGGGGAGATGTTACAGGGCTCTGGGGGGGGCAGACAGTGCCCACATCTTTTTTGGTTGCCACCCCCTTGCTGATGCACCCCAGCTCTGATGCTCTTCATGCCCCAGCCAGCCCCAAGGTGGGATGGGGACGTGCTGGGACAAGTCCAGTGTGGACACCACCAAGCCAAGATCCAACCAGCCTTTGGGCACCAGGAACAGAGGCTGGTGGGGGTCTCACCCACCCCTGGAGGTACATGGATGTGGTCCACAAGAACCAGCCCTGTACCCCCCACCCCACTGCCCACCTCGGCAGTCATGCGGGCGATGAGGCTGGGGGGGATGGCCCCACACAGCACGTTCCTCCGCAGGCTGGGGTTCTTGGGGTCCTTGAGGTTGCTGATCCTGCTCCGCACCCGGTTGCGATACTTCATGTCCGTGCTCTTCAGCTCCTGGAAGATATGTGGGGGTCCGTCAAGGAATCAAAGGGGTAAGATAGGGGGATGCCAGCCCCGTGGGCACCCACTGCTGCTCTGGGCTTGGTGGTCACCAGGGCCGGTGCCCATGTGGAGGTGGCTGATCTCAACAGCGTTTTGGTCCTTGGGGGACCATGTAAGGGAGGTCTCCCCTTCCTTGGGAGGTCTCCTCCTCCTTGGGTGATGAAGCACAACTCGGGATGTGGGGAGGAGAACAACTTTGCATTTCCCTGCTGTGACACCCAAAGGTAGTTGGGGCACAAGGGACCATGCTGGGACATTAGTTCATGGTGCAAAGGGCTCAGACCCCTCTCTTCCTCCCAGTCTGACCAAAAAGCCACCAGCTACCTGCATGGATGTGGGCAGACAGGCTGAGGTGGCAGTTTGGGGGTGTCCCACGAGGCTGCAGGCACACACATGGGCAGAGAGTGGGATGCACCAAAAACCAAAGTGTACCCAGGAGGGGGAACCACCTCGGGGCTGGTCCCAGTCTTGGGGGGCTGCCAGGAGCCCCCCAAGCCTTGAGTTGGGGGTGAATGGAGGTGGCTCCATCCCTGCCAGGGTGGCACTGGGCTGGCAAGAGACAAGGGCAGGCTCAAAAAAGAGACCTTGGCTGGATTTGGGTTTTATTTCTCCAAGGATGGAGGCAGGTCCCTGAGCAGAGGGGTTTGGGGGGGACACACGGACCCCCGGACTAAGGCAGGTGCCCAGGAGATGCTCTGCTCAGCATCAGCATCAGCATCAGCCTCTAACCAAGGTCTGGGCTCCCTCTGCAGGCAACAGAGACAGCAGAGCTGTCACCTTCTGTCCTCCCCACCACCCTCTGTCCTTGTCCCCACCACCACTCTGTCCTTGTCCCCCCCACCACTCTTCAGCCCAGCTGTGTCCCCCCAGGAGATGGACCCTGGGGACTCCCAGCCCTCCAAAAGGATATGGTCTTCGATCTCTGATGCCATCTTCTCACAGTTGACACCGAACTCTTTGTAGTCGTCTAAAGAGCAGAGAGGCCAAGGGGTGACTTTCAGGCATGAAACCAGTCAGATCTCATCATGTACCGAGAAACCACCCCCCAGCTCAGCATCAGCATCAGCCTCTAACCAAGGTCTGGGCTCCCTCTGCAGGCAACAGAGACAGCAGAGCTGTCACCTTCTGTCCTCCCCACCACCCTCTGTCCTTGTCCCCACCACCACTCTGTCCTTGTCCCCCCCACCACTCTTCAGCCCAGCTGTGTCCCCCCAGGAGATGGACCCTGGGGACTCCCAGCCCTCCAAAAGGATATGGTCTTCGATCTCTGATGCCATCTTCTCACAGTTGACACCGAACTCTTTGTAGTCGTCTAAAGAGCAGAGAGGCCAAGGGGTGACTTTCAGGCATGAAACCAGTCAGATCTCATCATGTACCGAGAAACCACCCCCCAAAAAAAATCTCACTTCTCCCCCTCAGCTTGTCCCAGACACCCCATCTCTAAAAAAATGATTTTTACCCATCTTGAACTTTACAAAGAGCCCATCTCCACATCCAACCCCTCATCAGAGACCCTTCCAACCCCTTTTTTTCTTTCATTTTGAGGCTGAACACTGAGCTATGAGCTACAGCTGCTGTTTGTTGGCAAGTTGGGGGGGGGGGTTCTGTTGGAGGGCTGTGGGTGCCCCAGGACGGCTGTGGGTGCCCCAGGACGGCTGTGGGTGCCCCAGGAACGCATATCCTCACCGTTTATTGCAGGGCTGCTTCTCTTAGGGCTATCCCATGGGAGATACAGCCCATTTTGGGCCAGTAGCTTAGGGAGGAGATGAGGGGTTACCTTCTGCCCCTTTGGATAACCCACCAGGGGGGGCTTGGCTGGGGCAATGCTGCCCACCCAGGGTTTAGCACAGGTTTTGGAGGCTTCTTTCCCCCCTGTTTTGCCACGTGTGATGAAACCAGGGCATAAAGCTGCCTGATTGGCCAGCGCAGCCACTTTCTGCACCACCACCACCACCCAGCACCAGCATCTCCAACATCCTGCACCCCCAGGGTCCAGGACACCCCCCCCGGAGCTGCTCACCATCCATACGGAGGGCGGCCGTCAACATCTCGATGCACTTGTCCCTCACCGAGTCCCCCGTGAGGTAACAGGGGGCCAGGAAGCAGGGGCTGGGGGAGAAGGTGGGGCTGGTGGGGGTCCGTGGCGTCTCTGGTTTGGCCTTGCTGCTGTTGGCTCTGCAGGGGCACACAGGAGAGGGGGGGGACAGGTCCTGGCACAGCCCCAGGGGACCTGCTGGGGGTCCCGTGGCAGTGGGATGGGTCTCTCTTACCTTTCCTCCTTGCTGTCGCTGGAGTTTCTCCGGGAGCCGGTGGGAGCTGGCGAGGGGCTGGTGCCCACAGAGGCTCTCCTGGGGGTGGCATGGGGAGGGGGACAGTGGAGGTGACACCAGAGAACAGGGCAAGCAGGACAGGGGGCAGGGAATGGTAGCTGGACCTCAGAAACCAGCTTGGAAGCCAACAGGAATCTTGTCAGGGGGAGGACTTGTTCCTCATGGGGAATGTCCTGGTGCCCATGGGACCTCTACCCACCCCAGGTGTGGGTCTCATGGTCAGAGCATCCCCAAAGGGGACACCCAAAGCATCCCCAGGCTGCTCAGGGATGGGATGCCCCCTCCTTACCGCTCCCCTGATGGTCTCTTCTGTGGGGAGGACGAGGAGGTGGCCGAGGTGGTGGAGGACCTCGAGTCGGCAGAGTCTCTCCTGGCAGGATGAGCCCCATGTCAGAGAGCAGTGATAGGGACCAAGAAGTGGGTCCAGACCCCTGTCCGCAGCCCAGCGAGGGTCTGGGGTCCAACCTCCCCCATCTTCTCCAGCCCAGGCACCCACCTCTCTTTTTTGCCATCTGGAGGTGACTTCTTGGAGGACGCAGTGGGGCTCCGGCCGTTGCTGGACTCTCTTCACCGCAGAAACCCAAAGGAAGAGAGAGATGGTCCCAGTGAGTCTGACCCAACATCCCCAGCAGTGACCTGGGGAGCTGGATCCTGCCTCCCCATCTCCACACCCTGTCCCTGGACAAGTCACCCCCAGTCGCCCACAGCCCCCCAGGTTGCCAGGGAAGCCACCCCAAGGCTGGCAGTGCCCAGAGCCCGCTGTAAGGATCGATGTGCCCTTCGGCACGTACCTCTCCAGGCTGGAGTCACCAGGGTGGCCCCGAGGGGTGGTGGCATGAGAGCTGGACTTGCTGGGCTTCCTAGGGACAAAGAGAGCAGGGCAGGGTCAGACGAGCCCCATCAAAACAGCCCTCATCCTGGGAATAAATATCATTAAATAAATTAAAAGAAAAGAAAAAATAGTGCTGCCGTGGCTGCAGGCAGCTGCCCTTTGGTTCTCCATGGACCAGCAGAGATGGAGAAACCAAACTTCTAAGGAATGAGCAGAGGGTGGTCTCATATCAGCCCCACCAATGCCTTGGCTATGCGGCTGGTGCCCCCCACCAGCAGGCAGGAGCCCCCACCTCTCCTTGTGCTTCTCCTTGTGCTTCTCGGCCGAGCTCTTGGGGTGCTTCACCCCTTCATTGGGGCAGCTGGGAAAATCCAGCCTCTTCTCCTTCTTCTCCTTTTCCACATCCATGTCCTTCTCCTTCTTCCCATCGGCGTCTTTCTCCTTCTTTGGGGTGGTGGAGGACTCTGGGGGAAGGAGCTGGGTGTCACAGGCATGGCCCCAAGAAGAACCCAGGTGGGGGGATGGCTGGGGGGATGCTCAGCTTTTTGGGGAGCTCGCACTGATTTATATCACTCCATCCTGGAGTGAAAATGAGCCCCTGGAAAATCCATTGAGTCCACACATCGTGTGGCAAGACTGGGTTACGGTGGCTACGATGGCAGGGGAGTCTGCACCCCCAAGCTTGGGACTGATCCCACCTTGACACCCCCTAGAGAGCATCAGGGTTTTGGGGTGCTGGGAGTTTTGGGGCCTGGGAGGGGGTTTCTGCATCTCCCCGGCATCGCTCACCCAGCAGCCGCTTCCAGTTCTTGATGAGGATTTTGGCCGAGGCCACCACCTCTTCATCCGAGCAGTGTTTCCGCACCGAGTTGACGGCCACCCCGATGCGCGTGGTCTGGGGACAGACGGCAGGGATGTGTCCTTAGGGATGTGCCAGCTGGTGTGGGGGGGACAGGACAAGCCACCCCATGGGGTGTCCCCCCGCCAGCAACTGCTGCCCCCCACCTAGATCCCCTCACCTGGAGCAGCTGGATGGTCATGGTGTAGCCGGTGAGGGACTTGAGGAGATCCAGTGCCCCTTCCTAGAGCGGGGAGAGGTCATGGGGGTCCTTGAGAAGCTGGAGAGAAATAGGGGGGCCACACCAAGGCAGCCCTCACCCCCCTTTTCTTCTTGCCAGCACCAAGCAGTGCTGGGGAGGGCACCTCAAGGGGACACAAAGCAGCCCTGGGCTGGTCCCTGGAGAACACCTGACCCTCTGCAGTGATGGACTCACAGAAAAACCCCAAATCCTGCAGGACCATCCCAGGGCAGGGTCACACCTCCCAGCTGGGAAGCAGGAGCTTCCCTTAAAGCTTGGGAAAACCCCTCCATAAGGAAAACTCGGGCTGTTGGGAGCTGGGGACGGCCAAGGGACACCTGAGTGTCCCCACGCAGGGGTGTGAGGGTCCATGGGACATACACCCAAGGCAGGCAGCGGCTGCAGGGCTAAACATAGCCCCGGCACGGAGCCCTCCTCCTCCTCCTCCTCCGAGGTATTTTTAGAGCCCCAGTAGCAGAGGCCAGCTCCCAGGTATCCCAGCCCCACACCAGGCTGGACCCCCGTCCCACCATGGCCCAGGACCTCTCCATACGTGTCCTCTGCAAGTGGTGGGCACAGGGGATGTCCCCAAACTGTGGCTGGACCCTGACTTTGCCCCCCCACCCCGAAGGGCAGGAGGGGGGGGGGTTGAGCAGGAGGGGCTGGGCAGGATCAGTCCCTTGTCCCCAAGATCATTCCTGGTGGGGACCTCCCATGGGTGACTCCCATGGGATCTGATCCAGTTCCAAGTGCTGGCATCCCAAAAAGCCACCGGATCCTGCTTTTTGTTGCCCCCCCCGCCTCCTCCGCCCCGGGTGCCTTCACCTTGTTGGGGCAAAGGCCAGTGGAAATGGTCAAATATTAACTTTAAGGGCTGGGCTGAGCTCTGCTCGCCCACACGTCACCGGATCCCCGGATGGATCCTCACCTGGAGCAAAGGGTGGTGGGGGCCACATCCTGGCCCCCCCCCCCAAGCTCGCCATGGTCAAATCCACCCAGGAGCCATTGCTCAGCCCCCTCCCGCCCACAGCCCCCCAGGTTGCCAGGGAAGCCACCCCAAGGCTGGCAGTGCCCAGAGCCCGCTGTAAGGATCGATGTGCCCTTCGGCACGTACCTCTCCAGGCTGGAGTCACCAGGGTGGCCCCGAGGGGTGGTGGCATGAGAGCTGGACTTGCTGGGCTTCCTAGGGACAAAGAGAGCAGGGCAGGGTCAGACGAGCCCCATCAAAACAGCCCTCATCCTGGGAATAAATATCATTAAATAAATTAAAAGAAAAGAAAAAATAGTGCTGCCGTGGCTGCAGGCAGCTGCCCTTTGGTTCTCCATGGACCAGCAGAGATGGAGAAACCAAACTTCTAAGGAATGAGCAGAGGGTGGTCTCATATCAGCCCCACCAATGCCTTGGCTATGCGGCTGGTGCCCCCCACCAGCAGGCAGGAGCCCCCACCTCTCCTTGTGCTTCTCCTTGTGCTTCTCGGCCGAGCTCTTGGGGTGCTTCACCCCTTCATTGGGGCAGCTGGGAAAATCCAGCCTCTTCTCCTTCTTCTCCTTTTCCACATCCATGTCCTTCTCCTTCTTCCCATCGGCGTCTTTCTCCTTCTTTGGGGCGGTGGAGGACTCTGGGGGAAGGAGCTGGGTGTCACAGGCATGGCCCCAAGAAGAACCCAGGTGGGGGGATGGCTGGGGGGATGCTCAGCTTTTTGGGGAGCTCGCACTGATTTATATCACTCCATCCTGGAGTGAAAATGAGCCCCTGGAAAATCCATTGAGTCCACACATCGTGTGGCAAGACTGGGTTACGGTGGCTACGATGGCAGGGGAGTCTGCACCCCCAAGCTTGGGACTGATCCCACCTTGACACCCCCTAGAGAGCATCAGGGTTTTGGGGTGCTGGGAGTTTTGGGGCCTGGGAGGGGGTTTCTGCATCTCCCCGGCATCGCTCACCCAGCAGCCGCTTCCAGTTCTTGATGAGGATTTTGGCCGAGGCCACCACCTCTTCATCCGAGCAGTGTTTCCGCACCGAGTTGACGGCCACCCCGATGCGCGTGGTCTGGGGACAGACGGCAGGGATGTGTCCTTAGGGATGTGCCAGCTGGTGTGGGGGGGACAGGACAAGCCACCCCATGGGGTGTCCCCCCGCCAGCAACTGCTGCCCCCCACCTAGATCCCCTCACCTGGAGCAGCTGGATGGTCATGGTGTAGCCGGTGAGGGACTTGAGGAGATCCAGTGCCCCTTCCTAGAGTGGGGAGAGGTCATGGGGGTCCTTGAGAAGCTGGAGAGAAATAGGGGGGCCACACCAAGGCAGCCCTCACCCCCCTTTTCTTCTTGCCAGCACCAAGCAGTGCTGGGGAGGGCACCTCAAGGGGACACAAAGCAGCCCTGGGCTGGTCCCTGGGGGAACACCTGACCCTCTGCAGTGATGGACTCATAGAAAAACCCCAAATCCTGCAGGACCATCCCAGGGCAGGGTCACACCTCCCAGCTGGGAAGCAGGAGCTTCCCTTAAAGCTTGGGAGAACCCCTCCATAAGGAAAACTCGGGCTGTCGGGAGGTGGGGACGGCCAAGGGACACCTGAGTGTCCCCACGCAGGGGTGTGAGGGTCCATGGGACATACACCCAAGGCAGGCAGCGGCTGCAGGGCTAAACATAGCCCCGGCACGGAGCCCTCCTCCTCCTCCTCCTCCGAGGTATTTTTAGAGCCCCAGTAGCAGAGGCCAGCTCCCAGGTATCCCAGCCCCACACCAGGCTGGACCCCCATCCCACCACGGCCCAGGACCTCTCCATATGTGTCCTCTGCAAGTGGTGGGCACAGGGGATGTCCCCAAACTGTGGCTGGACCCTGACTTTGCCCCCCCACCCCGAAGGGCAGGAGGGGGGGGGGGGTTGAGCAGGAGGGGCTGGGCAGGATCAGTCCCTTGTCCCCAAGATAATTCCCAGTGGGGGACTCCCATGGGATCTGATCCAGTTCCAAGTGCTGGCATCCCAAAAAGCCACCGGATCCTGCTTTTTGTTGCCCCCCCCGCCTCCTCCGCCCCGGGTGCCTTCACCTTGTTGGGGCAAAGGCCAGTGGAAATGGTCAAATATTAACTTTAAGGGCTGGGCTGAGCTCTGCTCGCCCACACGTCACCGGATCCCCGGATGGATCCTCACCTGGAGCAAAGGGTGGTGGGGGCCACATCCTGGCTCCCCCCCCCGAAGCTCACCATGGCCAAATCCACCCGGGAGCCATTGCTCAGCCCCCTCCCCTCCCTTTGCACGCTTGCACACGCTCGTGCAACAGGCAGGGCTGTGTCTGGGTCCCCGACACCCCCC